TTGTTTAATAAAAGTTTATTAAAATGTTAAATAAGTTAATTAGGCTATACTAGAATATCATTAATAAGAAATAATTATTGTTGACTATTGATTTTGAATACATTTTCGCAAAAATTATTGATGATAATTATTGTTAATTTTATTGATTTTGCAGCGTTTTCAAAAAATATACAGGGTGTTCCGTTAAAAAAATTAACCAATACGTCTTTAAAAAACCGCCATTTTGTTTTTCCGTAAACCGGAAGTGCTAAATAATTTTGGATTGACCGAAATAAAACTTTGATACATTTCAGTGAAAACCGCATGTTTTTAAGTACATACTTTCGTTTAAAAGTTATAAGCTTGCTAAATGTTGGAAAATATAATGGGACACCCGGTATTTTATAAACACATCGCTATAAGACTTACAGGTGAGGAAAATCCAGAAAACACCAAAAAACACTAAAATCGAAAATGGTAACGCATAGCGATTTTTATAATCTGGATGTCATATATACAGAAATTAAATTTCTGGTAATATGACAAATTTAGATGGTCTTTGTAGGATTCGAAGTCGGTGTCTCTTTTACCACAAAATTAGCTCGCAAATGAGTGCGGCGCCATAGACACCTACGATACCGTAATCGATGATAAATATAATGAATAATATATTGATAGTTTTTTAACAAAATACAAAAAATCTGGCAATATGCATATTATAAATAGTATATTATTTAACTGCCTAAATGCTACTCATTTCATACGAATTAAATAAAACTAAAAAATACTGTCACCGGCGGGATTTGAACCTGTGTCCCTTCGATCTCAAAATCATGACTCTAACCACTTAGCCAACCTAGCTAACCCACTTCCTAATTTCTGCTATTTTTTTTTTTAATTTGGTGTCATCGGCATCGACTGCTAAGGCCATTAGCCTCGTGTTCTGTGTAGGCTTTGTTACTGTTTTCCAGCGCCACTTTACACTTTAGGAACAGCACTAATAATTAGAACCCAACAGTGAATGGTCGAGTGGGGATTTCTGCTATTATTATTATTATTATTATTATTATTATTATTTTAATTAGATTATTAACTTTCATTTCTAACAAAAAAACATATCTTGATCAACATTAGTTTAGTATAATTGATTGTTCTATTCTACTAGAAGGACTTTACTTTTTAGTAACACGACAAAATGCACGGACATTCAACACGTTTTCTCTTCCTATTCCCAGGACTAACCTGCTAATGAAATCACCAATATATATTATGTGCCAAAATGTTAATATTTTATGTTTGAATTGTGATATATTTTTTGAAAAACTTGCACATGTTTTGCGCATAGTCACCCTCAATTTTTAATTTTAATTTTTGCTTTAAGCTTTATATTCATTTTGTTATTATTATTTATTACCATCTTAGTACTTATTTCTGAATTGTAATATACATTTTTTTTCTTTGAAAAACTTGAATTGAACATGTTTTGCGCAGGGTCAATTTAATTTATAATTTTTATTTTCACTTTTTTTTAGCTTTATATATATATATATATATTTTGTTATTATTATTTATTTTAGTACTTATTAATATTTACTCTTAAAAATCTATTGTTATATTTTGTCCTATATTTGGATGTTATATCTGTTGGGCAATAAAGAATTTATTTATTATAGTCGTAGAAAAAAGTTTTTTCTAATTAAAATATACATATTATAAAGTGTTTATATTTTATTTAAATATTCAACAACAATATTATTATTAAACATTTTGATTATTTTTTTTTTTAATATCTACAGATCAGTGTCCGTATTATTCACATTCGTCTTTTACATAAGCATCTATTAGACAAGGCTAACTATAAAATAACTATTAAAAAGTGATTTATGAATGGTGGCCGTTATATTACTAACCCATAAATTACACGTTCAATAAGTTTAGGATTAGGATTATAGGAATGTTACAAAATAAAAATCTGAAACGTGGGTTTTCCTATTTGAGTCGTGGGTATAACTGAAAAATGAAGCAATAATTATAATTAACTTGTTTTTATTTATTTTATCTTCATATGACAGGTTATTTAATTTTAAAATATAATGGAAATATTAACTGATCATTAGATAAGTCATAAAAACCTTAATTGTAAAAAGTAATTTGAAAAAAATGGTATGTTGACGAAATATCAAATTAAGTTTTTTTTATTTCTTTAAATACTCTCTTATTTAATGCTTTAGCTGTCAAAAAAAGAAAATTTTATTACTGCTAAGTTTAGAGAATTTTTTTTTAGACGCATAGCAACAAGTGACATAAAAGCTATTAGCACTCATACATCTAAATTTCGTCATGCACTGCTACCACACTTGGAGGTCATGATGCCACTTGTTAAAAAAATACTGCAACGCAGTTTAGCTAAATAAAGTATATGCTGACTCACATGGACTGCACTCCTTCATTAACACGTTTTTATTTTCATTGCCACTGTTGTTTAACAAAGTAAGATTTGAATATTTAATTAGTTTTATCATTTATCTATAAAACACATAAAGTTTACATTTACAGGCAATTATAATAAAACAAATTTCTGACTCAACTCCGTATCTGAAATATTTCTTAAACAATTTGCACAAATTACCACAAAAAGTGATAAGATAGTGACCTGGATAATTATTGTATTGTGATTCACTAGTTATTTTTTTATGATTCACTATGAATGGTTTTGTTGATTATATTTTCTTTCTAATTAATTCGCGGTTAATGATATTAAATAGTCGGTTAAGAAATCAAGATCGATTAGTTTTTGTAACATTGTAACGAGGTAAAAATTATGTGTTATATTGTCCTATTTTTAATGTCGATTTGAATCAAAATTTGCCGCCCAACGTGGAGCCATTGCTTCTTATTAACAATTTTTCATTAAACTTAAAAATGGGCTTATTGTAAGGAAATTCCATACTTTATGCAAGGTCCACCAAATAATCGATAGAAATAGGGCAAGAGTTAAGCGAAACATGTTTTTCTACACCCACATTGATATTAGATTATCTACGCACAGATTACAAGACGAAAAAGTATGCTATTGCCTTCAACTGAACGAATATATTTCATATCCATTCTAGGTAGTGAGAACACTGCAAAAAAATGAAATCCACCAATCACCGTTCATATTTTGATCAACCGACTGCTATTATTTTTAAAATTTTAAATAGGGGACAATTCTGTCAAACTAATTGTCAGTATAATTTTTAGTTATTGAGATTAAACATACATTAAAATAGGTTATTCTTGTGTAGAATCGATAAATAATAGTATTTATGTTTTTATTTCGGATGTATAATAATAAATAACTTGTTAATTTAAATAAAACTATATGAAGTCAATTTAATTACGAGTATTAAAACAACAAAAATAAAAGAATAGGTGGTCCTGCGGTAGGTTTCTTGCCTTCCACACGGGAAGACTCGAGTTTGATTCTCGGATGGGGAAAAATTAAATGAACTTTTTTCTTTTTTTTTTTTTCGTTTATTTTATTTTAAAATTTAATAATAGTCATAAATTATTTTTTCTACGTTCATGCAAAAAACAAAAATTTATTGAACTATATTTAGTGAAAAAACTGGGTCTTTATTGCACTAGTGCAATAAAAATTTTATTGCACTCATCTGTCATTTTACGACAGCGTTTTATGATCATGACAAACATAAATATTCAAATCAACGCCAAATATTTAGTCCATTTTCATTTTTTGTGTTACGTTTTAAAAACAATTGCATATTTTATATTATTTTCAATCGTTTAATAAATAAATTAATAAAAAAATGTATTTTATTAAAAATGTCATTACAAATTATGAACACAAACGTAAATAAATGCCTCAAACAAAGGTACACGATCACGGCTGCTATGATTTGGATAATACAATTGCAGTTCCATAAATCATTTTTTGGTTTTTCCATGAACGTAGAAAAAATATTGTATGCAACTCGTGCAAAAAAAGTTTATTGCAGTTATTTTATCTTAATAACCTAAAACATTTTTTTATTTGTAAATTTTCGTTAGTGGTTCATAGAAAAAATATACTGTAAAACTCGAGTGGATTGTCCACATCGCACTCAGACGAATCAGCAGTTCAAATTTCGTCTTCGTGCGATATGGCCATCATATCCACTTCAAAAAAGTAGGAGGTTCTCAATTCGTCGGAATATATTTTTTTTATGTATGTTCCGCGATAACTCTTTAAAACGGTGTCCAATTTCAATGATTTTTGGTCATAATCTAATAATTGGGTCCATGAGAAAATCCTCTTCATTCTTTATGTATGTATCGAAAATTCTTTATTGCCTTGTCCGATTTTTATGATTTTTTAGGTTAGTAAGGGTTTACCTCAAGGGTGGTCCCATATAAATTAGGTCAAGATGTGGTGATGGTATCTGCACGACTTTGAAGTCTGTTTTTTTAAATTATTTTTAATACTTGTATTTATAACAAGTTTGTTTATATTGAGGACAATATATTATGTTATGTTACTTTAGACTCAAGTACTGAAAGCTCTTTAGGAATTTGTAATAATATACAGGAATCGTCTAGAATCAAAACCTGCTATTGGCGTTTCAGATAACTTTTCAGGAATCAAAAAAAACTGTGGCGTTTCATTGTTAGGATTAGTTTTTGACTTTTTTACCAGAACTAATAGATATGCAATAAGTACATGTTGTAATCATAAAAATCAACAAAAAAGTGATAAGGTAAATGAGTAAGCAGTGAAGAAAAATTTCACATAGCGAGTTTTGATTTGAACTTTGTGTTTGGAAATAAAATTTTAGTAGATATGTCATAAAAAAGATAATATTTATTAAATAAAAACATAGAACATTGCTTTAACATTAATTTTTTAAACAGCTAAATAGATTTCTACAGCATATTCATATGACAAATCATATTCTGAAATTGGTTCTTCGAGATTATTTTTATCAAAATTTTGTATTAAATTTTTGTAGAAATTGAGTTGTTTCAGATCTTTCAAAGGTTTAGTCGTTCTGTAGTGCTTCTTTAGTAGTCCATCGATACTTTTTTAACTTTTTGTCATTAATTTGTTTACCCACAGTTACTATTGAGGGTTTGATAGAGTTAGGAGTACCACTCCCTTTTTTGTTGACAGTCCGCGGAATACCACATTCACTTTTATAATTAACTTCTCCTTTTAAACTGATACCATTTTTGGTCTTCTTCATGAAAAATCTTTTTGAAGGATTAAACTGGAAATGCCAAGATCCAGGTGGTTTCAGATACTTTCTGGATTCTTTACGCCAGTCGCATACAGTAACTGTCTGAGGGTCTGCTATGTTCCACGCAGTGAAGTTTTCCTCAATAAAGTTCACATACTCTTCAGGTTGTACTACCTCTTTCTTGCGTATTTTTTTTTTCAATCTGGGCAAAAACTCCATCGGGAGGTATGAAAGAATGTCCCACTATGGGAAACATTATTTTTACAGATTCAATATGCTTGCTAATCGAGAAAAACCATTTCATTAGCATTGTGACGAGTGTGGTGTTTTTATTTTGACCACCACACCCATCGGCAATGAGTCGGAGGGTAGAAAAGTTTTCCATATCTGTATCGCACAAGCTGTGGTAAATAGCACTAGCAATTTCATTACTCCCTTTTGGAAGCTGCGATTCGTTCCAGTAGTAACAATGAACGTTTTGTTTCTGCAATTTATCTGTTGAAGATCCTACCACAATAGCAAAATTATAAAAATTAAGCTGTGATGAAAAATATGCACTGGAGTCAGACATGTTAGGTAATGATATATTTATGTGGCAGTCAAAAGATATTGTCAGTGTTCCTTCCTCCTTTGTCCTTAAAATTTCAAAAAATGCTGCAGCCTTAAGGTTGTGTATCTTCTACTCTGTCATTATTTTTCGCTTTTCTTCTTCGTTATCTTCTTTCTTATATCTTTCGGAAAATTCTAAACATTTTGAACACACATCTGTTCTAGGGCTATCAAAACCGATATTGTAGCATCTATTGAATATGTTTGAGCGCAGCATCATCAACAGATTCATTGTACATTCTAAACATTTTTTTTAATGTTTCTCCGCAGGCAGATAGACACGCGAAACTGTTTTTCCTCTACAATAGTGTGGTTCGCTACATCTAGATGATTCAATGAATGCTTGAACCTTCTTTTTTTGCTCGGTATTCTTATGGCTTTTATGATCACCGCCTCTGTCCATCTGCGTGAAAATATCGCGCTAGTACTCCTTGCACCCTATCCCTTTTAATTCCAAGTACTTTTAAGAAGGCCTGTCTACATAGTGGTATCATTACACCATGAAGTATTTAAATGTCAGGGTTTTCCTTGATTCATTCAGATTTGGATTAGGGCGTTTAGGTTTGTAGACCGAACAAAATTTAATTATAAAGTTATCTTGATCAATCTTGATATGTGATTGGTAGAATGATGTATGGAAGTGGAGAATATCTGCCATTGTGAGTTATTTGCATTGCATCAATTTCTTGTGATGATTGCAATCAGGGTATTGTGGTAACTGAGAGGCAGAATATCTGTAACAAGTACAGCATATTACTTTACACAGTAATTACCATTCATTGTCAACACGTGGCATATTAATAAAGAATTAACCTAAACAACAAGATTCTTACCTTATTTCTTTTTAATAATACATTTCCACTTAACCGGCTGCCTGGGTCTCTTCCTCGAATTTTCTGGTGTTGTAGGTTCAATTTTGTACAATCACTCATAATTCACTCTATTTATCACATTAATAAAAAACCAACAGTTATAACAAGCGATCTTATTCTCTTTGACTCGACAGTCATAATAACATGAAAAAGAAGCGCGTAAAAATATCAGGCACGTGACTAAAATAGACACATCCGGTTGGTCAGAATTGTAATAGGGAATTGTTATAGCGAATGTGATTCATCGGAATTATAGCGGCTTTTGAAACTCACAGTAATCTTTGACAAGCAATTTATACGTTAAATGGTGGGGTTTGAATTAAACTATATACACCATTCGAATGGCGGGAAAAATTGCTATTGAAAACCACAGAAAAGTGAAAATCACTAAAAATGTTAGCGGGTTTTGATTCTAGACGACTTATAGGGTGTTCTATATAGGTAGTTCCATAACTCTTTAGGTAGTACGGACACTTTTTCTAATAAATTTACCCTTCGTTCAAGATTTAAACGTTAGGTGTGTATTCAAATAAAATGTTTTATGCTTATGTAACTATTATTACTCAATTCAATTTTGTGCTTAATGTAATGCTTTTAAGACTCATTTCAACTTGTTAATGGTACATATTTAATTTTACGACGTTTTAATTTTTTTGCCTTCAATCCTTATGTGTTACTTTAATGTCATTGGTATAGATATAATTTTTAATCTGTATTAATGACTGTCGTTAAAACTTTATAGCAAAATTGGATTACATTTGACTTAAAACTATGCTAAATATTCACATTTGCTACTTTAAAATTACTTAAGAGCAATTAAAATACGGATTTAATGGTACTTTAAGCTTAACGAATTAAATTTTAAAACAGTGGTAATCTTTATTCGCTACAAAATATAAATATATTTATCCATTTTGTGCAATTATCTGATACTATTCGAGTAACTGCATGCTGGCTTGCAGCAGATAAGACTGCAACGATTTCTAACCAATTCAGGATTTCTGGAACTATTTACCACTCGACAGATATATCAGTATTTGTGTGATATGTCATACTTTTTAATAATAAAAAATTGTTCATTGTTTACCACATAAAATAATTATACATCACAAATAAATATTAAAAGCCGGTGATTAACGATAGTAAACAAAAGGAGTGGTGATAGCTCTACTGATCAATTCTTCCTCACCTTTCTTTAACAAATAATGTATATATTGTTATGATACAAGGAAGTGCTAGAATAAACTATAAATTAAATTAATAAGTTTAGTTAAAATCACTAAAATTTAAAATACGTTATTATATGCAATGGAACGCAGAAAAACACATGTTGGTCGTTTTGTTGAGCAGTAAAGGGTTATTTTGGATACACGAGGGTGAGTAAAAAATACTTTTTTATAGCTGTCTCTTATGTAGCTGAAAGTCTGTTAAAAAGATGTTGTTTTGGAAGCTTGACGAGTTAGAAATTATAGCTTGGAGTAGTGCATAGAGTTCTGCTGAAAACATGGAGTATGTGATTGGAAGTTTGTACAAATGGCTTGAAGTTGGGGTCAATCTTTAGATTTAGTGGCATAATTGTATATTTGTGTGTAAGTTTTCTAGTTTTATAGTAGAGCATTTAAAGATGATTTAATAGTAGATCTGTTTGCAGAATGTTTATCTAGAAAAGTGAGATCGTCTACGCAAACTGTTTTTTGCCAGAGAGGGAGAATGGAGGTAGATTGGAAAAACACTTTGGAAATAAGAGGTTCAGTTTTATTAGATAGTTTGCATCCGTACAGTAGGACTGGAAATGTAATTTGTTTTGGTAGTATAAGTTAAGCTTAAATATAATCTTCTGTCTTCTATGTCTGTATAGGCTCTCCTCAATCGGATATGTACGAAAGGCTCCTATTATTACACGTAGGGCTGTGTTGTGAATATTGTTTTGACGTATAAGTGTGGATTTTTTAGCTGACCCGTAAGCAATTGAGTCGTAGTCAAGTTTTGATCTTATCAGGGTTCTGTATAATGTAAGAAGGATTGTTCTAATAGAGAAGTTATTTGTGTGGGGATTCCAGCTCAGGGTTTCGTCAAAAATTATGCCCAAAAACTTAAAAGAGTTTTCTCATATTGTTCTCCGTATAGTTGCAGGACAGGAATATTTGTAACTTCTCTTTTAAAGAAAATAATAAATTTGGTTTTGCTTGTGGATAAGGTAAAACCTCTTTTTTCTGACCATTGTTCCAGACGAGATATAAGTTGTTGTTTGTGAGATTGTAGTTTATTTACATTTTTATTTTTAGAATAGATAACTAAATCATTAGCAAATAGGCGTGCCTTTAGTGGTGAATGTAAACTTTGTAAGATGTCATTCATCATTATAATAAATAGTGTTAGGATAATTACGGAGCCTTGCGCAATACTATTTTTGAGATACATTAGATCAGATGTCACTCCATTTACTTTTACTCCGAGGGATGGCTTTTCCAAAAATAAAAAATTGATAAAATACAGGCAATATCCGTGTATATTCCAGTTTATTAACTTTTTCATTGTGTAGTCGTGCCATTCAGTACCAAACACCCTAGTTATATAAAAAAATACAGCAAAGCACTTGTTTTCAATGCCAAGGCTTCGTTAATTTCACTTTCAAGATCTATATTGTTGTCTACTGTGGATGTTTTAGATCTCAAGCCACTTTGTTCTGGTATTATTGTCTTATGACCATAATAATCTTTCGTTCTATTAACTTTCATAAAACATAGTTCAGGTAGTTTGGTTGGTATGACTCAAGTTTTCATTTTTGATTTCGTGATTTTAGGATAGGAAATCAAAGGGATTTTTACCTTTTTTGGGAAATTTATATTTTAACTAAATAATATTCAATAAATGGAGCAGATGTTTATGAGCATTTGAAGGCAGGACTTAACATACAGGAATTTGGTCAGGACCAGGAAAAGTGTCTTTAAAAGTCTTCGTGTTCTGCCTCGGTCCAAGGCAAATTTATAGGGTCATCTTGATCTAAAAAGATTACATTTACTTTCTGTTCTTCTAGTTTTTTATTGGTAATAAAAGAATTGCTGTAATTGATTTCGCTAGTGCATTTACTAAGTCAAAGTCGTTGTTTACTACTATACCTTCAACTTCAAGTTTTTGTTTGAATTTATTCTGTATATTCTTTCTCCTTTTTTCCATATTTGTCATCGGTGTTATAGAATTTAGTGAAGATACATATATATCTAGATTTTTCACGCATTTTTAAAAATTTTAGTTTATTTTCCAGTGTTTTTTGACTCTTATGCCCATTAAATGCCTTTTACTTCAGTAGCGTTTTTGCAATCATTGTTCTACCACGGAACCAGATGATGTTAATTAAATAAGTATTGCCAACTTGATATATTTGCTGCATGCTTTATAATTTCTAAAAGTGGTCCAGTTAACTTACAAGTTTTTATATATTTGTTATTAACTTCTGAGTAGCGTTTCCAGTTTGCCTTTTTTGAAGTTTTGTTTAGGACTGAACACGTTTTCGTTGCTACATCATGAATTATTATAAATAATAATGGGGAAGAGGTTGCTATCGTAGGTGTAGTCTAGTCTGTTCTAGGCTAGTGATGGGGTCAGTAGTGGATCACAGATCGTAAGATCAATACAAAAAGATTCTCAAGTCTGAATATCAAATCTAAATTAGGATGGAAAGGTTGAGATGATCTATAGTTTCTTCTATCTATCTATCTGCCCTTTTTGGTTTACGAA